TTCTTTTTATGGTAGAACATTCTTCTGTAAATCTGGTGAAATTAGGTTGAATTCAGTTTTATTTTTATTTTTAAATATTTTCCAGACTATATCAGATAAATTCTCAATTTTACCACTACAACATGACCGTTCCCAAAACCAAGGTCCCTTGTGTAATGTTTAATTAAACTTTTAGAAAATGGCTTGACTAGCCAGTGAATAGCCAGTGAACACGGATAGTTTGATATTGAGTTAGATTCATTGTCAGACAATGATTTCCGTTATACGTGTGCGTGTTTGTTTTGTATGTTTGATCAATCTTTTTCTGACTTTGTATGGTCGATATAAATTATTAACTTCAGTAAAATGAACCATTATCTTATTAAAGAGGTAGAGTTAAGTGATGTATTATCCGACTTTCAATACTGAAATAATTTGATAACGTGCTGTAATAACCTTAGGTCTGAATGTAGAGTATGTGTGCTGTGTGTCCTTGTTAACACTACAATAAACACTTTAACCCTGTTGTGGTGGAGCAGACACCAGTCAGGAGGGGTAGTTTCTAAAATCCTTGTTTGGGATTCCAAAAGGAAACATGGGGGTAATACATTGTCGTAACAAAAAATTCTGGGGCGAGGGAGATTTCCTGAAGCTGAGCAGAAAGACTTCTAGATATGTCACTAATCGTATTAAATATATACTGCCCTAACTTTATATGGTTGTGTGTTGTGCTGTTTAGTTGTGGGACGTCAGTACCACTACCATTCCAGGCCTGTATCACAATTCTCATGGATCTTAAGCATGGACTCTCTGCTCAACTGACTTTCTTGTAACTGGCTTAAATAATGTTGCATGATAGAAAAAATCCAAATCATTGGCAAATTGTGAACTTTTATTACTTCATCACCTGAACAAGGAATTGGGCTTGAGCACAAAATTTGAGTTTGAGCATGAGGAATGGTTCCATGACAACTGGCCCTGGTTTTGACATGCCTTTGACACGGAGACAAAGATTACCCTTACTGTTTGTCCCCTCATTGCTACCTAGCTGTCCTATAAAAACCCTTTGCATAGGATTCAAGTAGTTATCACCATTTTCAGTCACAGATGTACATGTTGACATGATCAAGGTCAAATCTGCACAAAGGTCACGATCCCGGTATAAACTACAGTGGTTGTGTACTTGCCAAAATGACAGATTCAAGTCATGAATATGTCATTTTCTGGAAACCAGCTCCATTCAGATAAAATATTTTGACATGTGGTTATTAGTAATATAGGATTTAAGATTCCTATCTGGTAGAAATCTGGTGTAGAGAACATGTTGTGTTTGTGAAACACTTTCAACATGTTGACCTATTAAGACGGTTTACTAAGAGGGGGTATCAAATTATACAAGTTACATTCCAAGTCTAGAGGCTGGAGGGTCAGGAGGGAGAGTCTGGTGTTAAGTGGTGGGAAGCATCTGGAACCACTTGGCTGTTTCTTGTACACAGATTTAGTACAACCTCAAACAAATGTATATTTAAGATGTTTAATTCAATCTTTTCAATACAACCAGGTTTTAAATATGCTATTTATAGAAAAGGTTCTCAAATTCACCCCATTTCTCCAACTTGTTACATTAGAAGCTTAGTATCTACTTAACATACCTATATATTCCAAATCAACTCATCGGAACATATTAGAAGCTTAGTATATACTTAACATACCTATATATTAGAAATCAACTCATCGGAACTGTTCTGGATGGCTGCTTCGACAAGCAAACATATTGGTGGTGATGTTTGTTATAATATTACCCCAGTATACATTGACCGAACTGTCTGACCAAGCATCACCTTACACTGGGCTACCTGATTCAACAAGGTGATAATTGTCTCCAATTTACCCAGAATTTAGGTCGTATACCTTGTTGTGGAGGATGGCCTGTCAATTGTGACACCTGTATGAGAGCGTGGGATTTACCTGTTAATAACACACTAGTACAACCTCACACAACTATATGTACCCTAAATAATAGGTCCATCTGTGTTCACTAGTATTACCACACACTACCACACATACCCCAAATGACAGGGCCATCTGTGGCAAACTCACACCACCTAATAACAGACAAGCATAACCTCACACCACCTCCAGTAGAATTTTTCGCGTTAGACACGAATCCAAACCTGATGTACGTAGCCGCATCAAATACGAATTGATCAGGAACAATATGTATAAAAAAATAATTTAATTGCACAAATGTATATGAACCACAAATCAGTTAAAATAATGTTTTTAATGTAAATTAACCACCTAGACATCCTAAACAATTTTGAAGTACTATATGAATGATTTATTGGACAATAGTTTTTATAAATGATTTCTCCCCACCCGATATGGATATGGATACATATACATCACTTCGGATTTGTGCTAAATGCAAAAACTGTACTGTAATAACTTATCTAAGACATCAGTTGAAGTAACTTTTACTGTCTACTACCATTGCTTGAAAGCATTTAGTGAACTACCGGTAATTGAAACATCCTCTGATAACTGGTTTGTTAAGTATTGAGGACACAAATTAAAACACTATTCGACATCAGGAACTTGTTGGAAGTATCTGGAACACAAGTTGAGACGACTTTAAATGTTAACGTTTCTAACCAAGTGTCAGAACACATTAGACATTATTTTCAAGGTTGTAAAACAGGAAGGTTTATTTTGGTATATCCTGGTGTTTTAGCCGACCTTATCTGCCTATAGGCTCCAGTTTCCCTCAGAAAGGTTTCTGCAGCTAACATTACTGTTCATGTCAGATTCAATTAAAGAAGCTGCTATGAACCATGGACTGGCATTATTAAAACCTGCTGTTACATCTAATGATGCAGGGTCTTGTTTATATCTCATCAACTATGTGGCATCCTCTAAATAAATCCTTGTATTATTTCTCTTTGAAAATGAAACATAGGGACTAGGAATGAGGACGGTTGTGATGTAATACTGGAAGAAACCTCTGCTTTGATATCATGATTCTGGTTTTCAATGGTAACCTCACATTTGAGGTGAGATTCCATACCTGTATAGTCCTCTACTGATGTACGATTTATAGAATCTGTCACTCTCTGGTATGTGATGCTGGCAGAGATATCGCAATCTAAGCTGTGATCTACGAAGTTTATCATGAAGATTTGTGGGGTGTAAAACTTCAAAACATTTATCTCCAGACTTGAGATTTCACGATTTCCATCACACATGAGTGATTAATTTTTCTCAAGAACTTTCTCCTGATTCAAAAATGCAGTAGTGAACCCTAGGTGTTGCACCATCATCAAGGGTGCATGTAATTCACGACAAAATTGACTGCAGCACCCAATCTTAGAATAAAAGCACATGTTATTCTCAAGGTAGCTAAATACTAAACGGGAAGACACTTAAGTTGCCAAAAACAAGGTTTGTTGAGTGTTTGGCAACTTACGAATCTATTCCTGAAAGGTTGAGATCCATAAATCTCGCCTCAACAGGTTGAATAATTATTTTTCTCTTACCCTGTTCACCCTTTCATGAAACATCATGTAATTTTAATGTTGCATGCTAAATTTTGACACAATGTCATTGTATTATTGATGTGATGTCACACGATTATTATGAATAAAGGAATCCCCCCCCCCATCTTAACCCTAGGGTGAGACAAGGATATCTCACTGGGTAAGGTTTAATCTTTTCCCTGGCAAAAACAGGAATGTACCGTGAAGTGTTTGGGGGAAAAAGATGACCTTCTCAATGAATGAAAAACACATTGTGTTTTTTTTAAGATCTTTAATCAAATAAAAAATTAGTGTTTTTAAAGATCTTTAATCAAATAAAAAATTAGTTTATTAACCAACCTCGGCAATATAGTGCATATTGCATATATAAAATAAATTACTGGAATGTGATCCAAGCCAGTCCTTATTTTACACACTGTAACTGCATTGTGTCTACTTATGTCACCCAGGAACCTTCCGAATCTCACAACTGTTTATTTGTTTTTACATCTTTTGAGTGCTATCTGTATCAGATGTTCACTGAAACTTGTCATTTGATAAGAATGGGAGCAAACTAAAACAGTAGACTGTCCGCAACCTGGAAAATAACAAAACTTCCCCATGCAGAACATCAGATGGGACAGATGCATGTAATTGATGTAAAGTCACAGCCCACTCCATAAGGATGGCTCAGACTCTGCCCTCTTAATGTACGGTTTTTGGAACTTTTTTTTCTCTGTACATATGTGAGTGGTTAACATTAGATGTGAGAGTTTGTGACTAATCTTTTCATTATGATTCATCATCTCAGGGGGAAAAAAATCCTGTTTTGAAATGAGGAAGGAGAGGTAGAGTGGGTATCATTCCACAGAAGAAAGGAAGTCGGCTAAAATCTGCTGATTTCAAGGTTTTAATTTGACTGGAAGAGCTGTCTGTATCATGAGTCATACACAGCACAAGCCACCCCACAGAACTAGACTTGAGGCTTGTGTACCAGCACGCTGTTGTATCAGACATTTCATGGAATGTATCGGGCCAGACAACTCATTACACTGAAGTTTGGGTCTGAAATTTCACAAACATGACTTGATATATTATAACTGATCCTTTATGGTTATAGATAAGAGGATATTGTTCTGATACAGTCTAAAAGTAGCATCGTTTTGTAGGAGAGAAGTGGTTGACAATGTCAGAAATAAATATAAAAATATCAACTTATCACGTTGCTATGTGGGATTGTACATGTAAGATGAATGTAAGATACAAAACTGATGAAAGCTGTCAGCAATTCATATATATTCATCATTGCAGTTCTTGATATTTGAGATTGAAGACTTCTCATTGGCTTTTCCTAGCTAAAGTTGTCAAAAAGGCACATTTATTTGCATATGACATTATGTTTGTTGTTGTTGTGATTATCCAAACGTTTAACAAGCAGTAATGTCCCCTGTTTTAGAACTCTTTCAATGATTGATGGAATTAACCGAGTTTTCTGTTTATTTCCAGGTGGATTTACCCGTGTTTTTCTACATAGATCCAGAGTTCCAGGACAACCCTTTCCTTGCAGACTGTGACAATGTGGTTCTGTCCTACACATTTTTCCAGGCCAAACCAGGACTCCACCTACCCTTACCTGGCTTTCATTCTGCCAAGTCTTGACCACTGGTCAGGCAAGGCGTTTTCACTGCTCTAAGGTGAACTGGGCCTCTCCACTTGGCCAGGTAGACTCTCTAGTGTGTTCTGTGCAGCTGTGTACCTGATAAATAAGACTTTATAGTGTTTAGTTGGACTCAAGAGAATAATTTACAGGTATAATTTTGCTTTTGAAAACTGTGATTCTGGATAATATATCTGCAAAAATGCTTCATGGACTTCAATAAATTTGTACATATTTTGACCCTATCTGGTATTGATGTAAGTACAGACACCTGTCTATTGCAACCTCTGAGTATTCCGAGGTCCTGTAGCACTAAATAAAACAAGTGTGACGTGATACCTCAATCTGTTTTGTCCTACAGGTTGTTAGCTAAGACAGGTTTCACTGTATTAAAAGCAATGTGTAAACTTTCTGTGATTTTGTAAAAATAATAAATTATAGAAATTATATTGGTTGTCTACTGTGTTTTAAAATCCTAATGTGGAATCCAACAACTATATACATCCTTCTACATTCAGTGGTAATCACAGGGCTAATGGTAGGATGGTCAGTACTGTTTAATAATACTATCATAGGATGGTCAGCACATTCTTGTGATATGATGGTCAGCACACTCTAATGATAGGATGGTCAGCACCATCTAAAGATAGGATGGTCAGCACCATCTAATGATAGGATGGTCAGCACCATCTAAAGATAGGATGGTCAGCACCATCTAATGATAGGATGGTCAGCACCATCTAA